TTTTTTCTAATTTGTCCTGAATGTGCCTGGTATGTTTTTATATGCTGAAAAAATAAATACAGTGGTTCAAAACCACACAAAGTCCAAATAGGTAATAAATAGCCCAGCACTGTAGAAATGCAGGGTCTGATTTTCTGAACATTTGATCCAATTCAGCCCACCTGGGCATTTCTTCTGCAGGTGCCAGGGAATTAGCCATGTATTTATGGGGCTTCCCCCCTTTGCCATTTATCACAATTGCACAGTGGTTGTGATGGCCAAGGAGCTAGTAGTTGGGTCACATTTGAAAATTAGTAGCTTACCCAGATGAAACAAAACCAGGTTTGTAGGTAGAGTTCATACTCTTTTATTAGAGTAACTTCCGCAGTTTGAAAAAATAGGCAAGCTTTTAGCCAAAGACCACTTCTGGTCTGGAACAGCAGGAGAAGTGTTCAAGCTAAGACCAATCTGAGAACAACTGCTCTGCTTTTACTTTGTCACATTGAACAAAACACTGTTAGGACTGATAGGCCACCTCTTAGAGCCTGGAGGGTCAAGCTCTGAGTTAAGAAGAGGTCCAGCTATCTCAGTCTATATTAATCCCACATATGGTTCTACCAGCTTCAGTAGACAAAGACTGTTAACCTAAGCATTTAATGATAATTTCCACTGAGGATTTGTTTATTTACAGTAAAAGGCAGGGTGGCCTTAGTGGGCAGGACTCTCGGCTGAAACTCTGAAGCCCACTTTCTTTTCTTCCCTCAGCTGCTACTGAGTGATCTACAGTGAGTGCGTCTGTCAGCTTCTGTGTGGTAAATGGGCACATCTAAACTGGCCTCCTTGCAAAGTCCTTTTAGATCTACAAAGGAGAAGTGTTGCACAGTTGCTATACACTTCTTCATTACTAGCTCTTTTTCATGTGGTTCCTTTAATAGATATTTGAGTTCTGATAATGTTGCACCCTGTTCTCTTCTGAGCGGAGCATAACATTACTGGCGCTGGTAGCATCTCTCTGTTTGCTAAATGTCCCTAGAAGACTCCTACTACTGTGATGTAAGCAGCTAAAAATTATTTTTCTAAATTTCCCAATATCAGATATGCTCTTAAATAGGAAAAGGCTATATGTGTTCAGGAACTACACAAGTTGCTTCATCTCCCTGGACAGTTACTGCAATGGCAGATCCAATCTGAGTGGGCACACGTGGAAACAAACAACTATGTTGATGCTCGCAAATTCTGTAGTAAATGTACAATAAATGCTATCTTTGTCACATGTAAATAATACATAGGAAAATGAATGCTGAAGAACTTGCCATTATTCTGTAATGTAGGTGTATGTGCAGTCAAATGTACAAATGCATAACCATTCTTAGGCACAATAGCAAATGTATGTAATACGAACATGTTTAAGTATGCACACACTGGCATTAAATAGTGTGCAATATATATATAAAATATATGGTAAATAAACATTCAGGATAAACATTGGATAGTCCAGAATTCAGGTTTCCTGGCCATCCTTAATTAGCCCTTTTGAATATGTATGGTGACACAATTTTAATTACATGATAACATGTAGGTTTTTTTCCTTAACAGATTCTTGCTTCAGCCAGTCAATAGGAGGCAGCTTTTAACCTTTCTGGTTTTATCTTATTCCATTCAGTGCTCTGGCCTCAGATCTCATGTTAGTGCACATGATCCAAGTATTACACTGAACACACAAAAAACATTAATCCCCTTCCAAGGTTTTGTTTCTCTGTTGCTTCCACGACAGCATCTTAATATCTCCCAAATCCTGATGAACTTATCTCTGCAATACATCTATACAGGATGAGAATTCTCTTTGCTTTACAATATTATTGCCATCATGCAAAAGTACTTAAGCACAGGGGGAGAAAGGACAAAAATGTCAGAATGACAATTTTCAGTGAAAGCTGAAAGAGGGAGCTGTGGGAGCCTTCACATGTGTGGAATTTCTCTAGCACTTTCTTCCCCCAAAGCACAGGGCCAGTTGACTTCAGCTCTCAGCACTTCTGCATTTCAGGCCCCAGGTGTCTCTTGTTGAGCACCCAGAAAATGAAGCCAACCTCTCAAGAGGGAGGAAATTCCAGAATTATGTCATCATGCCTACATGTGGGGAGGGGAAAGGAGTTAATCGTGCCCAGGCAATCCAAATTCTGGCATTTGCTAACATTTTAGCATTTGGCTCACAACCCTGTCATTCTTTTAGTTGAGTTTCTCTGTGTATGTGTATACATTTCTCTGTAAATAAATAAGGACATCTGAATTATGCCTAATCTTCTAAAAACTCTTGCGCTCTTGCGCTGCCTTCTCAGTAAAACTAATTTATTGATGTGTGTGCTCTTGGAAAAAGGCAGGGCATGTGTTTTAATAACCTTTACTGATTGTTCCTGCTGCAATTAAATCTAGAGAACTCTTGGGAAACTTGGTTTTGATTTTTCCCAGAAGAGGAAGGAAGGGAAATAAAGAAGATCTATCTTAATAGGTGCTGAAGTATTGATACACCCCCTGCTCCAGCTGTGCCTCAGCCATTCACCCCTATTCTGCTTTAGAAGCAGGAATGGGCTACAGGCAGGCAACTACTTTGACACCCAAAGTCAGGGGGACCAAGAACTTCTAGGGGACAGGGATAAATTTGCTTCACTTCAATCTGAAAATCTGCTACTAAATCTCAAGTTCGACATTTGCTACATTGTCCCTATGCATTACCAAATTATACTTGAGGCATTTAAAAGCAGACCACGAAGCCTTTAAAATCACAGTACTTTCAATTAAATATTGTTTTAGGTTTTCTTTGCTGCCTGAATATTTTCTTGACCCTCCACCTTCTGAAACTTCCATGCACAAGCTGACAGGTTGGAAACACGTTAAAAATGGAAGCTGAAATTCATATGTAAACAGCTGGCTCCAAGAGCTGGTGCTTTAGGGAATGAAAACTTGTAATGCAAGACTCACAAAACTCTTCTGGGAGTTGGCTTCATTGGTATCTGCCATAAGCGTGTCTGTATGCATATGAGTACACCGTTGCAATCCTATATGTGCATGGATATGTACTTGAGGTTAGCAGAGTATTCACTCACTGCTGTGCCAGTCACTCTTCTGTCTTCTCACACTTCTCATATGTTCTTTGAGGCTGGGAGTGCCTCTGTCTTTCATACATCCCCATCTCCACTAGCATCGCAGATCGATGGCACAAGGACCTTTTTTTACCCGTCCTGTGTGTGTACAGCAGGAGAGCTCCTCTCGCTGACTCTCTGCTGACTGAGTCGGATGTTATCTGTCTTTCAGCCAGCGGACAGAGCAATGTGTTTACCCTGCCAAACTGGAACACCCTGCCTTGCTCTCTAAAAGCTTTTCTCTATAGCCCTTCTATGTAGGGTACCTAGGGAAATGTAATGGTCAGAGAAGGCATCAAAGGGAGGCATCGTGAGCGCCCTGCCTTTCTGACACTTCAAGTTTCATGATCTGAAAAATCCCTAATAAAGGAGTAACATTCATTACTAGTGCTTTTAATTCTGGGAATGCCTCCTCATCCATACTGGATTCCTCCTTCCTTCCCAGCCTGTGGAGCACATGATTATCCCTGGTGACTAGAAAGATGAGCTTTCCCTTTCTCCTCACTGCAGTCACTAGCAGTAGGGGGAGCGATGGCAGATCTTATGCCAAGATTTCATCATTTTTCCAAGAGGGAAAAGCGTGTCTGTCCATGATGAGACACTTCCTTACAGTATGTGGCTAAGCCATGCTCTCTAGCCAAGACACCAGCTTACATGTCCCCTGAGGGCTTCTGGGAGAGAAGTCCTTGGGTAGGCAACGTGGTGGGAATAGCCCTGGAGGAACTGCAGTGTTTTTCCTGACAGCTAAATGCCCCAGGGCCAGGACAACATGTGTTCTCTCATGCCATGGACTAACACAGGGCACTGTGCTTGCTATGCCTTAGTGGTATGTCAAGCTCCAAAATCGCTCCAAAATAATTCCTCCATAGCCCACGGATTTACTCATCCTAATTGTCAAATACTTTTAGGACCAGCTCTATTTTCAATCCTCCTAGCTCACTGAATCTAGAAAGCTGGGTGTCTCTATCCTCTCAAGAGTGTGAGTAGGTTCTGTTCCAGCTTTGGGCACAGGAGAATAGATCACATAGCTATAGCTGGGAGCAAGTAATGAGAGTTAAGTAGATTTTGAGCCATTTTGGTGTATCACTGTCTTTCTAGCTCTGCTTATGTTTTGGTCTGGACAATCAGAACCCTTCTAACCTCAGACTAATATAAAGGAGTGAATGATTTGCCCTCCTGAATAAAATGAGAACATGTGAGTGTGGGGAGAGAGGGGAAGGGAGAGAGACATTTGCATAGGTCAGGAAAGGTCATTAAAACATCTGGCAGTAGTAACTGACATGTGTCAAATTTTAGTGTTCATTAAATTCATATTAATGCAAGAATGGTTCTTAAGCTGCAAATGCCACTTTGGTTGCTGTGTTCCCCCAGTTGATGGTGATGACTTTTCAAAACTGTACCATGCTTGTTTTCTTGCTAGTGGCATCTGACCTGAGGTCAGATTTCTATTTAACCTCTTCCTGTAGGTCAAAAGACAAATTAATCTTGTGAGAATTGAAATGGAAATTAGGTGTCTGGATAGCAGGTGTCCCAACCATGGAATAGCTACCAGGCTGAAACATGATTGTATCTGTCCTTATGCCATCCAAGAAGTCATCTCCGAGGTCAGGGAGATATTCAGCTGACATCTGAGATGGGAAGTTGCTACAGGGAGCAGAAGTGGTAGGTACCCTGTGCTAGCAGAGTATCTTGCACTCTGGGGGCAAATGCCTGAGAGTGTCACTCTGAGCATAAATGTAGATGTTCCTTGTATTGTGCACTTTGCTTTACCTGGGTTTATTACCAGTTTATAATTGTAAAGAAGACATACAATTTCCAGGCCCCTTAAGGAGGAGATTCTCACAATCTTTCAATCTTTTTTTTCTTTTTTTGTTTTTTTTTTAGAGGATGAAGATGACGAAGAGATGGTGGAGCCAAAAGCACAGGATGACTTGGAGATGGAAAGTCAGGACCAGAAGCAGGAAGTGAAAGAAGGTACTTTAAAAAATGAAAATGATATTGCTAGATGTATAAAGGACTGGGTCCTGTCAGTAGTTACTCTCATAGGTAGTTTCCATTATTGAGAATACTAAAATCTGAACAGTCGCCAGTTTTATTGATTCAAAACCATATGAGTGGCATAAAGCAGAAAATTGTATCCCAGTGACCCAGCTGGTAGGCCTGAGAAGCTTGTGAAAGGCACAGGACTTCAGCTGTTTAGAAGAAGCTACATGTCCTTATAATCTGGGAACAAAGTAGAGATTCTTGGATCCCAGGACTGATGCTACTTTTTTCTCTGGCTCAAATACCCTGCTCACATGAAAGATTTAAAATGCAAATGCCAGGCATTCCAGTAGCTCTATAAAGTTGGTTGGTCTTCAAAGGTACTTAGAGCCCATAACTGCCTGCTTGAGAGTGACAAACTTGAACCTCTTGGTAGTCAGGAATCTTCCAGCAGAAAACCATTTCACTGGAAAAATGTTGACTGTCAAAACCAAAACTTTTTGTGGGAACTGCTTCAAGGGAACTTAAAAAAAATACCCGAAGCCAGGCAGGTCCAGGCCTTTGTCCATTACTGTGCACTGAGACACTCTCCAGGGTTACAAGAGACAAAAATTCAGGTTACCTCTTGATTCTGGTGCAGACAAGAGACACTTGCCAAAGTCATGCATGTCAGCACTGGACATGGTAGGTATGCATGGTGTCTCTTTTCCTTCTCTTGGACCTGTCCTAGCTTTCAAATTAGAAGGATGTGAAATGTCTTCCTCATCTAGGAATTTGTCTATTCTACTGTGTCAATGCCTTCAACAGTCAGTGCTCACTCCTGTGTGGAGTGGGGAAAAGAGCTGAAACAGCAGCAGCTCTGGGGTGAAAGGAAATGGGTTTCTTCTCCAGCATTTCTTACCTCTATATTGCCAGGACTGCTCAACATGCTGTGTAACTTACTTCTTCAGGTAGGGCCTATGTCCCCTCTTGCTATGGTTGTCATTAACAAGATGATTCTGCAACCTTAGTTTTGTTTTTCACAAGATAATCTCTCTAGGAGAAAAATATGTAGTAATTTTACAGAGAAGCCTATGAAATCTTTAACTGTGAATACAACAGTGGATGCTTCTTTCTCATTCAGGGGAGACTGGTATCCTTTTATCAGCGTCCAAAAAAACCTGAATCCAGTATACAGTGCCCACATTTGCTATCCTCACACACTGAAGTGAGTTGCAGAATCAGCTGCACTGTTTTGATTATAAATTGATCTTTCTTTCCTCTTAAAAACATCATAGAAATCACCCATGCCATAAATCCTGTGGTGTTCATTGCTCATTAGGTCCTTGTAGAAACACGGAGGGAGAAACTCATTCCTCCTGCTCCTCATCCTTCTACTTCTCCCACTGGCCCCAGCCACTGCTGCCATGGGCAGAGGGGAGCAGTGGGAGCAGTGGCGACAGCAGGAGCCAGACAAGTCTGCAACGGCAGAACTGAGGACATGAGCAAGAAGCATGGCAACATAGAAAAACTTACTTTTTCATTAAAATTACACTTCCTTCCAGAACTGTGGGGTCAACTCACATACAGCCTGTAGCAGTCACTGGACCTAACAAAGTGTCTCTTTTACTGGTGACAACACAAAGCCCTAAAAACCGCTATCACTGCACTCGGTGTGCAAGCACTGTCCTGAGTCGCTGAATGTCCCTCCAGTATTCAACTTACAGCTGATACCACACCCATTTATTTCCACAGAAAAGTAGCACTAACACTTATACATGGGGAGAAAGCACAAACTCCTGCATGAAGAGAAGAAAAAAATCAAAATACAATCCTGAACTGATTTATTTTACTTTCTTGTGGGCTTTCAAATTAACCTCTTGTGTACTTTGCTGACTAACCGCCACTGCCAAAATCTTTAATTTCTTTGCTGTGTTTTAGTCAGGGGGCAGTGCTCCCCTTCCCTGCCTAGCAGACCCCCCCAGGAGCGGAAGATCAGCTGGGCTGGTTTAGCGCTCGTCTCAGACACACAAACTGCAGGCTGTAAAAATAAGGCACAGCTTGTTTTAGCAGAACCAGCTTTGTGAGGTGCTAACATTTGACTGGGTTCAAGGAAGAAGAAAACATGCTCATTGCCTGATAGAAAGTGAACTTGACCTGCAGTATGTGTTGTGATGGATGAAATAGTGGCATGCTGATGATAGGAATTAAATGCTGTGAATCAAACTGACACGGAACTGAGTCTCATTTTTTTAGTGTTCAGTGTCCTTCTCTCCCTGTTGGCTTTAGCCCTCTTGACTACAAAATCCCATTTTCCTCTCTGTTGTAATCACCCTTCTCATGTTCTGAGCAACATTCAGAGTTTGAAGCCATCGTTTGTGTTTCATGGAAGTGATTAAAACCATGTTACAAGTCAAACAGGAGTTTAGAAGAACATTTCCTGTCGGTGCTGCACTCTGTGTGCCTACTCAGAATTAATAGCTTTTCTGCAAATTAGCACATAATGGGTTAAAAGCATGTTTATGTTGGCATTAAGTACTCTGGCTTCTTTTTCTCTGCAAGGCAAGACAATATTTTGCAAACTTTTTAAAGAATCTCTAATAGATATTATAGTGGCGCCATTCACACTGCTATATAGTAGTTAAGGCTGTGTCAGCACTTCCATTATGAATCCTGTTTTTCAGGGATTTATAACCCAGCCGTAAAAATTTGCTCTGGGCTGAAATTTGGTTTCAGCTCAGGGAGCACATTTTTTAACAGATTAAAAAAAATCAGCATGGCTTTTTTTGAGTTATAGAAGTGTAAGAAAAAATCCATGGAAGAGAGAAGTGCAGGAAGGGAAAGACAGACAATTTTTCATGAATAAAACTCAAAAATAGGTTAAGATAAAAAACAGAGCTTGGATCTAGTCTGTTGAGTCTTCCTCTCTCCAAGCCAACAGGTCAGGGGTCCTCTATTTTTATAATGGTATTTTAAGAGGAAATGTGATTTTTTTTTTCTCTGTGGTTTATAGGTAGGCCAATTTAATTCTACAGATATTTATAGCATGCTTAATTTCCTCATCTTACCCTCCCCCAACAGTTGCTCTATGGGGTTTTGTGGGATTATTCAGCAGTCACGGGTGTTCGCAGGGTCTGACCCTAGTTCTGGACATGTCTCAGCATCACCATAAGGCACACAGTGTAGCTGCAATGAGACAGCCTGTCTGGCACCTCTTGCAAAACTTCCTTGCCAAGGAGATGCAAAGGGCAGAGGTACAGCTTGTGCCCCCCAAGGTGGAGTGGGAAATGAAGAACTGACTGGCTGACCACTTGAAGCATATGAAGCCTTGGGGCCACCTTGTGTTTCTTCCATGGGTCTGCCTGTTGTCACCTGTGTCTCAGGTGCATGTTCTCCCCACTGTTTTTGGAAGAACTGATTGTGGGATACCTGATGGTGAATTGGGATGAGCTCTGCCTGTTCGCAACCTCTCCTGACCAAATAAACAAGACACTGGTCTCAAACTGTGGCATCAAGTGGGATGGGGCTTTCTACCACCAGAGAGCTCTGGAGCTCCACCTAAGGCTCCTCTTTGTGTCAGTAGAAACCACATGACCAATGGGATGTGCTGGGTCTTGAAATTGGGCCTCGATCTGCATTTATCTGAAGCCATAGGTATATTCACAGAAACTTGCATGAAAGGCTGTGATGGGAAGGCTGGGACTGGCAGCTCCAAAGACTTGCTGTGCCCTGCTCTTGCCCTGGCTTTACACATGGTGCTTGGGTGTCCACATAGCAGGCCATGCTGGTGGAGATGGTTTAGCTCTCGACAGATCAGGCATCAGTATCAGGAAAGCAGGACAGGTTGTGGTGAGGTTTTTAAGAACCAGTGATGCCACGATTTCACTGCCACTGACACCAAGGAAGCTCAGGTGTGCCAACCCATCCTTGCAGCCCAACTCAGGCATGCTCAGGGATGGTGCTCAGCATGGCTCCTGGAGAAGCACAGTCAATGGGAACAGCCCTGCCTGCCACAGATCCATATTTAAGGTTCTGCATCTCCAGAATCAAAAAATCCCTAAATGCATCTTGAAATCTTCTTTTATGTGTTCAGCAGTTATGCCATGTGGGGGCTTGCCAACACAACCAAGATATGACATATATGAAACCATGATATGGCACAAAGCTGGTTATGGAATATATCAAATCTAACCTGACATGAAAGTGTGAAGCACAAGAAAAACGAGCTCTCAGCAGGAAAGGACTCGAAGCTGCTGGGAGCCTCTTCACACATTGTGGTTCTCACCCTGTACCTTTCGGCCATCCTCATTCATCAGCACATCTAAAGTTTACATGGATTAAAATAGATGCTGAAAGAAATAATACAGCTCTTAAAGGGGTTTTACTAATCTCCTTCTGTCTCTTGTTATATCTCTGGGTTCATAACAAGGCTGCTCCCTGCTTTACTGTTCTTACTAGTTTACCCTTTCTTTTGTTCACTTATTCCTTCTGGTATTTTTCTTTTTTTTTTTTTCTTTTCTTCAATGGACTTCAATTCTTTTGTCAGGTTTTTAGAATTGCTGAGATTCCAGGAGAATCTTTTTTATAGTCTATTATAATTATTTAAATATGATTTTTTTTAATGTCTTTTTGACTCTCTTGGAAGAAGACTCGAATCCTGGTATTTGAATATTTGTGAATTTGATCTTTCACTGTGATCCCAACTATTTATGTTATATTTACTACAAATATGCTTCTGCAGAATAAGAACAAGTCTGCAGTAATTTTATCTTAGTTCCTAAAAATTCATGAAAATGTTTTAACAAAAAACTTTCTTTCTGGTTTGTATAAAGAAATTTATGGAAAAAGGATCCAATGTGGAACATGTAACTTCTGAGGATCATGTTAAACCATGTGAAATAATAAAATGTTCCTATTTTTCGTAAATAAGTCTTGAATAAATTGGTTGTCTTCACATCATGTTCAATTATTGTTACATATGCTAGATCTTTCTGTTCAAACACTAGTGTATGATATCTTTCATTACAGATACACTTCATATTTTCTTTCCCTGTGATGTCCTCTGTGCATATATAACTGCACAGTGATTTAATTTTAATTGCAAAATCCATTTGATTTTGTACAGTATTATACATTAGCATAAACACCGGGCTTCTTTGATATATGTTGTTGACCTCATAACCCCAGAGCCACCTACACAGCACTCTACTCATGGGTACTTGGTCCCATCAATGTCTCCGTGGGTTTATGGACAGACAGGATGCCCAGTGCTCCTGTTAGACAGGACTTGGTGGCTGCACCACGGGTCCTCCTGCTGCAAGCTGTGAGGGGCCACAGGTGGGTTCAGCTCCTCCGGATGGGATCAGAGCACAGGCACAACAGTTCATTAGGAAGCTATGGTGCAGAAGCAAGAGCAAAGTGTGGGTCTTCCTTTGCAGGAGCTTTCATTGCACTCCAGGCAATAAGCACGTAACTTTTTGGAGTGGTAAACTCCACATTGCGCTGGGCTTTGTTGCACACAGAAGGTTAGATGTGGTTGCTTTGGGTTTTGTGCCAGGGAGACTAGGTATTTGAAGACAAATGCTGTATTCTTATGGGGAATTTCTGAAGATATTGTCACATCACATAGGTCTCTGTGACAAAACAAAACAAAAAAATACTTTGATCAGCTACTTACGTTTCCCAGAATTTTCCTTGAAGAGAACGTGTGTCTCTTGAAAGCTGAGATCAAAGTCACTGTAAGCTCACAGATCGGAAGAAAAATTGCAGAAAATTACATAGATTCTTTTTATTTTACTCAAGGTAATGGACAGGGAGAAGGAACAAGGAGAAAATGGAAATGGCTCTGAAAGATAAATGGTTAGAAAACCTTCATATTTGAAAACCTGTCTGTTTTGTGTTTTTTGCTTATACTTCATGTATTTACAGTAGTTACAGCAATGTTTTACTCTGGAAAAAGTAATGATGTTAACATTCTTGTAAGAAGAGATTGCCTCAAATAAAACTTCAGAGGCAGCCGAATGAAAGAAGAAAATAAGGTTAAAATATGAAGCTTAATATCGCCAGGGGGCATCTGGTGTGTCAGTCAGATGAATGAGGTAAGCTGATTTATGCCCTACAAACTTCAGCCAAGGTGTTCCTGATGGTTTAATAGACTGCTGGCCTCCCACAGATCTTTGCTAACTGCAAGGGAGATTTTGCTGAGGTAGAACTACAATCATCTGTCTCCACTTCTTGTGAGCACTCCACAGCTCCCAAGCTGTTCATTTTTTTGTCTTTTCCCTTTCTATTGATTTTTGGTTGTATTTTCTTTGCAGTTATAGTCAGCAAATGGCTGAGTAATAAATTTATATTTCCAAACTGTAGAGAGGATTTGATTTAACAAATAATTTTTACCATTTGGGGCAGTTTAAAATGAGTTTTCCAGTTGCCTTTGCAGCTGTTTCCCCCCTTTTTATGCCATTTTGCTGCATTGTCACGTTTGTTGTCTTTGATTCTCAGAAAGCAATGCTTTTGGGGTGATGATGGAATATTGCCTCATCACAGGTTTCTTTGAGTTCCCTTAGTGACAATTTCTAGTGGATGCTGCAATAGGTCAACCTGTACTTTTTGCTGGTCATTCTTTTTTTTCACATGCTTTACTTCTGTGTAAAGCACTTAGAGGCAAATTGTGCTCCTGCCTTGGTAATTGTTGCTCTGCTATTCAGGGGGACCATGTAGGGGGACATAGATATTCCCTGGATGTGTGGAGCTCCACAGGGACCGCTAACCTGCTGGTAGGAGACACAGGGCCAAGGCCATGGGAGATCATCAAAGGCTAAAGCTTATAACTTCTTAGTTGCTCTGTCTCCTGAGGGCCAAATTGTTCCTCCATCTTTTGCATTTCTCTGACCCTCTATATTTAGCTCAGGTGTAGTGCAGAGATTTTGTCTTTCAGAGCTAACGCTCTGACCACTTGAGGCAAACCCAAGTGTGGTGATAGCAGCCTCTCCAAACCACAACTCTGAAAGCAGATACACTGAAACCTGGGTGGGCTGAGTACTGCAGTAATGATGACCATGTCAGTACTCCTGCCTGCTGTTGTGCCTTTCCACCCATTTGTGCCCTGGGGGCTGGTGGTGGCATCCTACTGGGGCACTGGAGCATATGAATCTAGGATGAAGCATGGAAAAATCAGAAAGAAACTGTGTAGCATGGCACCACAACTGGAAAATAACTTTAAGCTGCAGCTTTAAACTGTGTCATTCATTGTTTAATTAAACACTGAGATATGTATGACAGGGCTGGGAGTTAAAATTTGATGTATAGTGGGTGTTCTCTGAGCTGCTGAATTCCACTTTTTGGCTGCTGGTGTTTTAATCCAATATGTCCTAGGGAGACCACAAGGTCGTTTTCACAAGTAAACACCTCAAATCTGTAGTGTAAAGCCAAATGCAGGAGACCTTTGATCACTAGTTAAACTCTAAGTACGAGTCTCTGTAATTTTGCAATAAATCTGGTTATGATATGTTGTTTGTGTTCCTAATTATAAATTTGAAACAAAATTCAATGTTATCATAATTTTTATGATGTCAAAAGATCTTTCCATGCTGAGAATTTAAACTAATTGAAAGGTTGGTTTGGTGTAACTGTGAAGATACTAATGGCATTTTTTGAAATACAAGTAGTTTTGAAATTTAATGAAAATGATGATTTAAAAGCACGTGTGGGCCAAGGCGTAATTGATATGCAATATTGCCACAATATCAATATTACCCTGTTAGTGTAATTGAGAACAGAAATTTGGACTGTAGCAATAGCAGCATCCCAATTTCCTTTCCCCTGATGCTCTCATTTGAGTTGTAGTTTACCAACAGGTCATTAAACTGGTGGAGACGTTGAATTGGTGCATCCTACAAAGACTGTATTTTTCAAATGAAGGACTACACTGGAAATATTAGTTTGGAAGTAAAGGTTTAACATCTCTGTGTATGTGTAAAGAAGTAACCTCATCTTGTAGAGGTCAGGCTATCCTGACCAGTGCCTAGAACAGCACCTACCCCTCCCAGGGCAGCTTTGCCCATGGCTCAGTAACGTTGGTTGCTCTGGGTCTTAGGATTCCTCTGTAAGGAATAACATTGCCTTGAAGAAACTGGTGTTTGGCTGGTTGTTTTCAATTTTGCTGCCTCAGAGAATATCTTTGGTTATTTACTTCATTGCTTTGCAAAGGCAGAATTTATCAGTGACAGCAAGTAGAAATTGGAAGAAGTGAAGGGAGAAATTATGTGAGCCCTTTTAATACAAAGAACTGTAGTATAAGTTTAGAAGATTATTTTATATTTGGCTTCACTGACAGGTCCCCTGTTACATAAGTGTTCTGCTTTTTCCAGTTAGGTATTGCCTAAATGTCAGTCACGGCCATTTCCTGAAATAGGAACACTGAGTTTATTTAATTTGGGGGGTTTAAGTATTTTCCATTTCAGAATAATAAATATATAAGATATAGGATCTCTTCTATGTAAATGCTACATTCTGGGATTATACAGGAATATGTTTAGATATATTAAAAACTTCTTAGTCATGATTTTAAGTGTAAAGCTTTGATTTTTCTTCTGACATTGCTACAGCAAGCTTTCATGTCAAAAGAAACCCACTGAAGATGTTGATTCATTGGAAAAGGGGTGAAATGTCATACTCTTAACTACATCTTTTCATTTTCCAAGCTCCTCCTAGAGAACTGACAGAAGAAGAGAAACAACAAGTTCTCCATTCAGAAGAATTCCTGATATTTTTTGATCGGACAATACGTGTAATTGAGCGAGCTTTGGCTGAAGATTCAGACATCTTCTTTGACTATAGTGGCAGAGATGTAGAAGAAAAAGATGGGTCAGTTTGGGGCTTTTTTTGTTTTTGTAAAATAAGCTTTCTAGAGATACTTCCAGAGACAGGAAGCCTTAATTTTAAACAAAATTTAACATTTTTGTAGTTAAAAAAAGGTTGAAATTTCTGCATGAAGGCCTGGGTTACTTTGTTATCTGAAATTATATTGTAAAAGAGCTTTGTGCTTTATTGAACTGGGGAGGGGGAGTTATTTGACATATTATTCAGCTGGCTTATTTCTTTGATTCATTTTCGGGATGAAATTTCAAATTCTGAACAAATAACTGAAACAGATAAATGTGTGTATATGGACATATATATGTAAATGCATATATTCCATTGGTGTACACATGTGTGCTTATGATACCTTTACAAATTCAAACTAATGTTGTTTATATTCTACTACTGTCTCAGGTCTGTAATGGATCCCACTGGACTATGCTTTGTGGGGATGGAAAGGATGATTTCCCAAAGTGTTTGCAATCTAAATGGCTAAGACAAGAAGTGACAGGTTTTGTATTCAGCAATTGATAGGGGAGCAGAAACATTAAAACTTGTTAGGAGGAGAGGAAGTATTTAGATTTCAACAGCTACATATCTGTTGAAGCCTCATGGCAGATCAGTAGCTATGTTGCACTGAAGTTACTGGAGGTCACTCTAGAGCATCATCCCTGTGGACTGACAAAATGCATCAGTGTGACAATGCTGGACTAGTACTATGCTTCAGCCTGTCTGTAGCATCTGCCATCTCCTTCGCTGAATGCCAGGGCCAGGTTCATCCTGAGAGTCAAAGGGCGCAGAGATGGCCTAGGGTAACCCAGAAGAGTCAGAAAGGCAGTGAGAAATTAAGAAATGTGGTTTTGTGAAACAGATGTAAAATTTGTTCCTTAGTGCAGATTCATTTTCAGCAAGACAGTCTGTGAGAACAATTAAATCAAGGTGGCAGACTTCCCCAGGCTGGGCAGAGAACTGAGAAGTAGTCAGAAACTTCTGCATTGCTTTTCGCAGCTTTTGAACCCTGGTACTTCAAGATTTGTCACTTTGTTTGAATTCACACAGAGATGTTCAAGCAGGAGCCAATCTTTCCTTCAACCGACAATTTTATGATGAGCACTGGTCAAAGCATCGTGTTGTCACCTGTATGGATTGGTCTCTTCAGGTAAGATGTGAAGCTGGGAGACATGCTTCCATATCACTTCCACTTCTCCCTAAAAAACTTATGAGCATCCTTGATTTGCTCTTTTTTATGAAGAGTAGGATGTTATTTTTTAGCTAACAGGAGGGCCCTGGATAAGTGAATGCCTGTTTCTCTATAAAGAAGAGTAATGGGACAATAATGAACCTGTCATTTTTTGTGAATGTCTTGGTCTTCAAAACCAGAATGTTTTATTAAAACAGTAGTAGGTTAACAAACCTACTAAGGTGGAGTTTTACTTTTTACTCTTCCTCCCCTCTCTGCTCCTTCAGCACATGGAAATTTTTTAGCATAAAAGGTTTAAAATTAAACTAATTAAAATTAATTTACTAAACAATTGATTTAATAAATAGTTATACACAGTAATATATAAAATAGAAAAAAAAAGAATAGTGAGAAATAAAATTAATTTTTCTAATCTACTAATATACTAAAACAAAAGTGATCACAGCACCAAGCCTATCTGAGTTCAAGAAGCATTTGGACAACACTCTCAGGCACATGGTGTCATTCTTGGGGTGTCATGCACAGGGCCAGGAGTTGGACTCGATGATCCTAATGGGTCCCTTCTAACTTAGCATATTCTATAATTCTATGATTTTAAAAATGTGAAAGTATCTGAACAACTTGAAAAGATCGAAAAGAGGTCTTTCAAAAAATGCTGGGTTCTCTCTTCAAGTAATGGAAGAGGAGGCTGCAGCTGCCCACAGGGCATACTAAAGCAACATGCCTGGAATGTACCCAGTTTCTGTGCACCACAAAGCATTGCCATTGCAAAATAAAACTGATGATAGAGATGCTTAAGCTTTCCAAAACCAATACAGTCACATCAGCAAAGTACAGAAGGCATGTTAATTAGTTACTCTATTGGAGAGCTGGGATTAGCACACACACATATCATCACACATCCCTTTAAATTAATTTGGTTCCAGTTTCACTCCAGCCCCCCTCATTCTCTCTGTTTCATCCCTATCAACCTGTTCCTATGTTCCAACCTGGAGCAAAGCATCTGCTTTCTCTGGGGAGAGAACCCAGGAGACTCTGCTCTTAAGTCCACCGTACAGATACGAAAAAAACAGCTCCAAGAGGACATAGAGTTCAAAAATGCAAGCACAAACCAGTCTACCTAGCTGGACCCAAACTCAGCCTCAAGTGTGCCCTTGGGTCTTCAGAGACCTAGTGGAGCCTGGTGTGGGTAGCAAAGGTGCTACAGAAGTAGCTCAGCCCAGTGTTAAGAACAACCTTTGCCTAATCTTAGAAGTAGCTGCTCTTTCTGCACCACATTAGATGTGCATGTGGACCCAGCAAGCTCTCAAGATCCAGTACGTAAACGGTGTGTGAGGGCTGGAGAGAGGCAGTGGATAAGGAGCACAGTGACTCTCACATCCATCTTTCTCTCCTTCCCCTTGAAATGGCAGCAGAGCTGCTTCCATCCCCCTGGGTACTTCTCAGGTAAGGTGACAGCAGCTGTGGCTGGTAGGCTGAGTAGATCGGGGTGGTGCACAACAGCCAGCTGCAGAAAGGCTTCTTGTAATATCGAGCTTGCTCTCTGTGTGAGAAATGATTTATACCTTTGCTTTCATACAAAATATCAGCCTAACAACAGGTATGCACTATTGTGATGTGGGTGGCCTTTAAGCACATATGGATTTCTAAAGAAATCAAATATAAGCCCGAGGAAACACTTATCTTAGGTTGTTCACTTGTTCAGGGGCTGGAAATTACATGGAATTCTTATCTGATATTTTCCTAACAAGCAGCTCTTACTGTATTCCCAGGGCAGCAAGAAAAAAAGCCGCCTCAGAAGAGCACTGCCAAATGTAATTGCTCAGCCCCTGGGGCTCGAAGGCATGTTCTGCTTCCCACCTCTTTGTTCCAGGGTGGCCCCTCCTGCCTTCCCCTTTGTTAACTCCTCACACACAGCTCCCTGGCACTCCAGTAGGGACTCTTCTGTGCCAGGGGTCTTCTGCATGCCGCCCTACAGTAGCTTGGGAGTTGCTTCCTCTCTTGCCTGCTTTGAGTTTTATCCATGGAACAGGAACTGGAGCCAGGGAGAGGTATTTCACCTAACCACTAGCTCTACTTCTCACACATGCTCCAGGATATGACAGTGTCCAGTGTGTCAAAGGATAACTTGAATAATCATGAGAACTGCAGAACACATTGCTCAATTTTCTGTGATAAGACTGCTTCTGCGAAACAGCCTGGAGGCAAATAGAAACTTAATCAAACAAAGGACATTGATGCATTGATTAAACAAGTTATTCTGTTCCCAGTCACATGTAAAATACAGTCTCAAACATGTGGGATCATTCATACCAGTAAAGCTAACCACTAGGCCCTTGATTCTTTCACAGAGCAACAGGAAAATGGCTTAGATGCTTCATTAGGGATCTTAGGGAAAGGCCCAACAGACTGAGAGTAAACACAAAGAAAGAGTGGGATCACCTTACTCTGTCCATGGGAGCTCATTTACCAAGAAAACCACAATCTCTGGAATAGTGATGTGTCTCTCTTGACTCTCAGGCAGCAGCCTTGAATACTGTTTTGCACAGCACCATTTCCATGTTATTTACAGTTGCAGTCACAGGACATCTGGCTACCTGGTGAGGACTGAAATTCTGTAAATGCGAGTAGATTGAGTGAAGCATTGGAGTGCGTAATGCCAGAGAAGACTTAGGGTGCTGCGTTTAGCTCTGTTTTATGAGTCACAAAGCCTCATAATGGTGTTATCCAGCTAGGTATGACCCCAGCAACTGTGTAAACTGTATTTCCAGTCAAATACATAAACTGATTGCAAAATCTACATATAGACCAGCAAGATTTGAGTCAGCGTTTGTTTACATCCAGACATGCTGCTAACCATGCTCGCTAAACTTCCCAGGAGCATTTACCAGCCCCAAAGTGCCTCAAAATTGGCACTTTGGACCTAGTCACACATCCTAGCTGGCTCCAGTCATGCTAGTGGAAGGGCTTTCACTTCTGCCTGCCAAGGTGTCTGCCCCTTTACGTCTATGGTCTCAGCTGCTCACGTGAATGGTACCTAATCTGTTCAGCCAAAACATGATGCTCTGTCAAGAGCCTACTGCACACACTGTTTACTTGGACATGGGCCAGTGTGGGATGAAAAGATTCAAAGGAGAAGCTGAGCTCGCTGTTGAGAAGTGGTTGTAATATCTGTTGCAGGAGAGACAGAGAAGAAGGGGGTGAGATGGATGAGAACATTGGAGGGCAGGCTGGTACCAGCGTGTCCAGAGAGGTGGTGTCTCAGGATTAATTCACCCTCAGGTTTCCCTCTGTTCTTGAGGAAGGAGAAGAGGTGTTGGTCTGCTGCATCCCCTAAATCCCATGCAAGTGAATTGGGTGCTAAATTGTCCTTACAGGCTGTGCCAGCAGCCAGGGATGTAGGTTCAACCCAGTCAGAGCTGCCTCAAACTGGGATAGAGGAGGCTATTATGGTGGCCACGTATCAGTGCTGATTCTTCTGCCTGTGGGTCCAGGCTCATTTGGAATGATGAGCTTGAATAGAAAAATCATCATCTCTGTGACGCATTATCCGTGGAAGTGTACAGAAAGGGGGAAGTAACAGCTGCTGATGGCAAAAGTTACATTATTTCTTCAAAATGGATTTTGAGAGCAGAGAGGTTCAAACCCCAACAAAAAGGGTGGTGGCTTGGGGTTTTTTAATTGTTAAAATGCCTTTGGACCAAATTCACAGCTCCCAGTTGGCAGTTTATTTGTCCCGCTCCCTTTGCATGTGCCAGCTGTACTGTTCCCCTGTAAAGTGGTGAATGGTTTGGCAGGAATTTGCCTGGGAAAGACAAAAAGTGACAATTATCTGCAGATATTATCGAGAAATTTTGAGGGAAAGCATTTCTAGTTTACAAAAGGAGAGTGTGGGTCTTGCAGAACTTGAGCTGCTGGCTTGTTGGTCTGCAGAAGCCACATGCTTTTCTCTGGACATGCCATAAGGTCCACTGCTTTATTTTGACTAGATGGAAGGACAGAGGCTACCAGAGGTGCCTAGTATCCAACATGTGAGAGTGGAGAACTGGAAGTTATTGTATAGACTGAAAGTAATTGATGTTTTGTGGACAAATTGTTAGTCCTTATGGTGTTTTGAAATGATGGAAGGTCATCAAAAGAACATGAAAATCTGATTTTTCATATATGATATTATGTGTGTATATATATATAAACAAAGCAAGTACATATATGTGTTGCATATCTACTTCTATACAACAGTGCATAATGGGTGTACAAGAAAATATGGATCTGATTTGAGAGTGCTCATTGCATCAATCTCACTGAGTCAGTGGAATTCAAGATCACCCTGTGCTTTATAAGATGACCTCAGCATCTTGCAAAATTGAGCTTCTGTGAAGAAAATGGTTTTTTTGCCATTTGAATCATCAAGAAGAGCTTTCCAGTTGATTCTATGCATAAGTAAATAAGAGTGCATAATGAAATAAGAAAGAATAGTTTTCAGGAATGCTGAAAAAATGTGAATTTCAGAGTAAAACAAGTCAACTCCATGATCATAGTGTTTTTATTATCAAAATCAATTAAGACAGTAGTTTGTCCTTGAAGAGATGGTTAAGCAAATATGTTAAAATTACTCAAGCTTTCATATTTTTTCTCTTCCTTCCTTTGCATTCCCTTCATAAAAATTCTGAAAGCTGTCTTTTTTGAGAATTACCTGCAGAAAATAGCATTGCCTTTGTGATATCTGAGAATAACTGATAGAGAGCAATTATCAGGGGCTTTAAGGATGTTAGGGACAAGTAAAATATAAACCAAAATGAAGCAGAGTAATATGACTGAACTAACACGTATTATAATTAAAACCAGATATTGCACATTTAGTGTAGATTATTTCTGTCTCATATGATTTTGCATAGGTTTTTATCATCTGTCTTATTTCATTTGCTTTTTCTTTTTCTTTCCAGTACCCTGAGTTGATGGTTGCATCTTACAACAATAATGAAGATGCTCCACATGAGCCTGATGGGGTAGCCTTAGTATGGAACATGAAGTTCAAGAAAACCACACCAGAATATGTGTTCCATTGTCAGGTAAGACTGAGGAAGTCATTAATTTCGTGCTAGACAAAATGGAGTTTACTACATAGCGCATCTTTCCACTGTTTATATGAAGAGGTTGAGGTTAAAAATAGGCATTTTTGGAAAAAGTACAAGTGGCAGTCCTGTGTTTTTAGAAGGCAAACAGCCTTCTCAAACAAAAGCCTGTCAGGGCTGCGTGTCATTCTTTGTCTATTTAAAACAGTCCCTAGGAGATTTAGTTTATAAAGCCCTTGCACTTATGAAGTAACTGTGGTGTACCACTTCCTCATCCAGGCAGCAACACATGCTTTCCCACCCACGTTAACTTCCTCGCATCCTCTGCACTCAAGCTGCCTACCCTTGCCTGGTTCTGCTCAATATTTTGCCTTTAATATTGGGAAACACACTTTGCATTTTTGGACATGTGTCTGACTTACAGCTTGATCAAAATGGTCTCAATTACAAGAACTACTCCACCAATTCATGTCTGACTGTCCTTTAGGTTAGCAAAACAGTGTTTCACTTCACTCAGCGCTACTTTATGATTATGCTGGTTTAGAAGTTTATGGACAATTCAAAAATCGTTGAGTGTATTATTTTTGTATGTCTGTTTACTCCTCTTTTACCTCTGCTTTTGTGTGTGAGATGGCACAGCCTCACATCGATAGAAGTGTTCAGCTCATTGGCTCCATCAAACTGTCCAAACTGTGGAACAGGGCTTGGGCCAAATTTCCAACCTCTTCATTAATATCCTTCTGTGGTAATTAAATACAGGTCAGTGGTATTTGAAAAGCCATATGGAAAAGTTTCAGCAAGTAAAACTTAACAATCAGAGATTAGTAAAATGCAGATAATTCTGTGGTAAAAATTGCTTCTCTTGGAAGGATATGTATTACCTGGCTAATTGTGTAGGCTAAGTGTCATTTTACATTCAAGGACCAAACATCTTTTTGAACTAAGTTTATGTTTGGACTTGGGTACATTATCAGATGTAACATAGTGGGAGGGAGTTGCTGGAATTGAAGTTGCTGCTTCAACCTGATTAAGTAACCTTTAATTCTAGGCATATTTTTCTAATTTGCTATACTGAAAAACAACCTCACAAGGAGTCTAAGCCTGCATAGCAAATATGCCATACAGATTTATATACATATATATGTGTGTGTATGTGTGTGTGTGTGTGTGCGTGCGTGTGTGTGTGTTTGTATTACCTTTGAAATGAGAACTTGTATTTTTCCGGAGATTATATTTGGCAGTCGATGTGTTCTTTCAGACTGCTTAAGATCTTAGCTCAAATCCTATGTTCAGATTCTTCTATGATGTACATGCAGCTTAATGTTTTGAACAAAATATTCAAGAGAAGAGTTGCCCCCCTGCATTTCCAGGAAGAATAATCCTTAAACTAGATAATAACCAGATTCAGGGTAGCCCTTCTGAGTACACAAAGGAAGACTGACTACAGACATAACAATGTGTTCAATATAAATTTTAATTTCTATCTAGGTTTTAAAGTAGGTACACTTAAATAGGGGAGGTATGACTCACTACGTTGAAAGCAATGAGATAGGCTATAGTCTCCATTAGAAACACACACATAGGACAAAGTGGTGGCCAGAGATTTGGCATGGCTGAGCTTCTGTCTAGTCCTCACATTAAGTTGGATGTACCCCTTTTTAGAACCGGAACCTTAAAACCTGTGAACTGAGAGACACGTTTGGCACTGTACTTGTACATGTATCCTGGCTTCATCCTCTTTCAGCTAAATAAAATCAGTTCTGCCCATGAGAACTATTTATTTACTTGGTCAAACTGTCCACTGATAATTTGTGTTAAAACCCATTATGAGTGGGAACTTTGTTTGAACCACCATTATGGGGCTTTTGACGTGAAATATCTTCTGCCTATCTTCAGATCAGACAGGGATACCCTCACGTGATTAAATGGGGAAACAAAAAGCAAGCAACTTGGTCTCTTGAACACAGGTTTTGTTCTAACTGACTCAGATGGAAAATAAGAAAAAAATAGTATCTTAGCTCAGAGTCTGGATTTCAGTTCTGTAGATCATAATGGTTTTCTGTTAGTGGAAACCAACTGTATTATTAGTCAGCCCCATATCATTTATATTACCATTTTGCTAGAGAAACATTCCCTTATTCAGTCCTGATTTGGTCATTTCTCTAGGTTTTCTGAGAGAGACGCCTAATTTTTGTTCCACAATACATGATCTTATAACAGTCCAGCTCAACAGCTAGAGATGAACACACACCTTATCATTATAGCTAGGTTGCCCAGATACGATGAACACAGTACTTTGTGTGTATTTTCCCAATAAGCCTCTATTTTCCTTTCCAAAGACTTTCTATAAAAAAGACATCTCCATAAATCCTACATGATGCTAATATACCTCTTGCCTTTTGATTTTTGGGCTCACAGAACAAGACACAAGCAAATAGAAACTTATTTCAGGAGTGACTTTCAAGGAGCTCTTGCAAGCTGCTTCTGAGAAGCCAAATCAATAAATAGGTTTATGAAGCCATTTCTAAGAAACTTCTAAGAAATTTGACATCGGGAGTTCTGATTACATCGATAGAGATAGACATGTGAAACATCTCTCAACAGCTAAGGAGCTGACTGGAGGTATGACTTCAGATACCTCTTGTGTACATTTGGTAAATTCTCAAAGCTAGGAACCTCAATGTTTTTCTGTCTCCCCTGGTGTATTATACAGATGTAAGTGAGATGATTACTATAGAATTTCTTAATTTTCTTTACGTCTTTCTGTGACTTTTTGTAATTTTACATAGGATCGTTGAAATTGTCATCATCAGAACAGGCTTTCCAAGGGCCTTTGCTGAAAGCTGCCAGAACCCAGGGACTTCAACTAAAGTTGTCTATCAGCCATGACAGATAATGCAAAAATCTACTGGCAATGATGTTTTTTCTAACTCCAATCAGCAAAACATTTGATTTCAGTCCTTAAATGTAAGGGGTGGTGTATTCTGTAAATACAAAATTCTTACCCAATTTAAAGTCATATTAGATTGTTGGCTTATTAATGTAATTTAAGTGGTAGCAAATTTCATAGCTCTACAATATGTTGTGCTACAAATACTGGGTTCAATTTCAGTTAATGGAAAAATGTTTAGTTAAAGGAAAAATGACTATCAGCCAAGTGGACACGTTTACTCGTTGATTCATGTGAACTGCCATGTGATCTATCAGATCCTTTCTAAATAAAACAGTCCTGCTGGCTTCTACTCTCACCTCCTATGGAATATTTTTTTCTTCTACATGTTTTATTTTTGCCCTTTTTTGGGTTTTTGTATTTTTGCATTATGTGCTGATGGTATTTTAGATTTGAGTCCCAGATTTTTTGCTCTACAGCTCATCATACATCTCTTTACCACAAGATTAGAAATAGGAAAACAAGGAAGAGTGAGGGACTGAGCAATTTGTTAACTTGTTTTCCTATACAAGCAAAAAAATGTTGTCTCAGAAGCAAAATCAGAGTGGGAGGGTGATTTTTACCAAAGGAATGAATGCTCAGTGCTTTTCTAAGGTAGTGGGGAATAAATTGAGCATGCAGTTAATACTGCAGAGTGCAGACTGGGAATATTTCTGTAGGGAAGAGTCAGGGATGTCCTCTTCCCCCACGCTGGAGCATCACAAACTATTGGTGTAATCCATTGCATTCCAAAGGCAAAACACAAGCCTTTCAGAAGTACTTTATGAGACCCTGCAGATGAGTCATTCCTAGTTGGGTTAGTTTGGCAGTATCCAGAGAGGGAATGAATTCCAGCAACAAAATGGAAATCACATTGACTCTCCCTCGGTTTGATTGGGAAAATTTTAAAGAGTGGTTCACACTACTCTCAGCTACTGTTAGTCTGCTTTTAGGTGGGAATGACAAAAATGAAAATAGTATTGCAAGGTTATTGATGATATGACTCAACATGAGCTCAACCCTATATTGATTTATGCAATCCACAGGGCTGGCCTTGTATGTGAACATTCTCATACTATTGATTGATAGTGCAGTAACAACCATATTTCTCAGTATTACTCTCTTTTTCAGAAAACACTTATCTGTCTATAATGTGTTTTTTCACTGAACATACAAATAAAAATCTACGTTACCCATTTATTATGAGGATTATTAGTACTACTCATCATCTTTGCCCATGATGGTGTTTCTGTTTCACAGTAGCCTGGTCTAAGCTTTCTAAGCCAGAGTGACCTGAAGAAGTACATGAAACTTTCCACCAACATATCTGGTTGAGTGAGGCAAATAAGAACTCAGAGAGTATGCAATGAATTGTCTAATTGAAGTCTGAGCTATCACACCCTTTCTTTCAGCAGAGCCTGCTAGCATGGGTACAGCACTGCTCTTCTATCAGGTCCCATAGCTTTTGGGTTAGAGCTCATCTGCAGAGACAGAAGTCACAAGGAAAAGAAACAATCTGTGTCTCTCAGGGACTTTATGGTATTACAAGCCATTTCCTTTCTTCTGGAACTAAAGAGGGGTTATTAAAGTCGGTTGAGGTATCTGGATCTCAGCTTCAAACATCCGTCATTTCAGGAGAGGAGGGGTGGAGGAAGATGCTAAAGATATTAGTTTCATGCAAATAAACCAAAGTGAATGTTACTGTCTGATTTGGAGGACTCTGCATTGTCTTTGGAAAGTTTGATGAATTCTGCTTTACTACAGCCAATCTAATGATAACAGAAACAAAAAAGGACTACATTAACTGTCTTTTGATTTATTATGGATTATTTCCTGATCTACTAATTTCCTCTTTCTCTCAGCTGTGTCTTTTTTAAGTGTCTCAAAAGGGCAGTGAGAAGTACAAATCTGACACTTAGAAGCAACTCCATTCAGTGTATTTTAAAAGGAGGAGTGCACATGTGAACTAGCTTTTATTTGAGGAAGCAGTAACTATTGAAGAGTTCTTTCAAGGAGTCGACTTTCAGCATAATCACAAAAATATTTCAGCAGTATATCACTTTTAATA